GGGGCGCGAGAGGGCAGCGCCCACCCTAGACTGCTTCCGCTCCCGGGACAGTGCGGGCCGGGGCATAAGGGCAGGGCGCCGGCAGGGCAGCGGATCGTGGCAGGGAGATGCCGGCTGTCTCCCTGCGCGCTGGCTGGCTGGCTCGCTCGCCCGCCCGCCTTTCTCGCCTCCTTACCAAGCCCAGGAAAGCGGCACAGAGAGCAGCCGAAATGCACCACTTCATAGCCCGCCGGGAAGCCGCCACCGCCACCGCTTGCCTTCCCGCGCCAAGGCCACCTCCTGCCCGGCTTCTTCGGCCGCTGCCATCAGCCACCTTTACAACCGGCTGAAGGGCAAGCCGCGCCGAGCTCCCAGACGGCTCCTTCAAGGGCGACTCTCCGGCGGCCGCTTTCTCCGCAGCGGCGTCCCCGAGGGCTGCTCCCGCGCCGGCTTCTCGCGCTCCATCTTCTTCTAGCCGGGCAAAGCGGACCTGCTTCTTCGCGCCCGCCGCCATGTCTACACTCAAGGGCCTCCGCCGCAGAGCCGTGCGGGCAACACGTGACCGCCCAATCCCGGAGCCAGCGGCATTTTAGCCGGGGGAGAAGTGCCTCCCTTAAGACTACGATTCCCAGAAAGCATCGGAAACCATTTGCTTACGCAGCGGGGGCTGCCGCGGCAACACGCGTCCCTTCTGTTTTCACGCCAAGGTTGGCGAATGCTCCCATTGGCTAAATTTAAGAGGATTATTTTGCGATCCCGGTTATGACATGACCGACGCCCAATGAAGCGAAGGGGGCGTGCCCTGACAGAAATTTAAGGTTAGGTCTTCCCGCCGTCTTGCTGGTGACTTTCATAGCTACGCTTGCCAAATAGGGAGAAAGAGAATTTGGGATATATTTGGGAATCGAGCGAGCGCCGAGGTGGGGATATAGTGTAGCGAAGGAGATTAATCCCTTGGTGCGTGCATGCATGCATTTCGGTCGCCTTGTGGTCTCCTTTTTTTCCTTCACCGTGGAGGAGCTGCTATTGTCCCTACGTGTCATTAGGAAACGACAGAAAAACGTGCAAAACATAGGGTTGATTGCCTGTGCAAAACCATGTCCATTCAGAAATGAAATAGCGCAAACGAAAGGACAAAATGTTCCTTATGACTCTTACGGTCTTACTGTAACGAAAAAGCATTGCCCGCAAACCCCGAATCGGACGCGGGGGAGTTGTTGGGTGCTGCTAACAGTCGGCTAAAATTGATACGGACAAACGTATCCTAAGATTGCATCAGGACTGTTTCCCCGGGACGCCGCTCTAGTCCAGCTCCCCGTGCGCCATGCGAAGGACAGGCATCCTTTCCTTCAAGCCTCCGACAAGAACAGGCAAGGATGTCGGGCTTGGCTGCGGCCCAGGACGCCACGGTCGCCGTTGGTCTCCGCAAGCAGCTCTCCCTTCGCGCTGCGAGGGATCAAACGAGGAGTCTCGAGGCAAAGGGGAGGAAGGTGCGTCGCGCGCGAGTCGAGGTCTGCCACGTGTACGGGGAGGAGCAGGGCCACCCGAGGCGAAGAAGCGGGAGACGGGTCCCGCGGCGGCTCCCCTCCGAGAGCGCTCCGTGGGACAAAGGTCGGCAGGCCTCTCGAGACCGGGGGAACAGTCTAATTGCCGCGTGTTCGTGAAGGCCGCTGGCAATGCAGCCGAGGCCTCAAAGGAGAAAATGCTCCGAAAACAAGATTTTTTTTTTTACGCTCGGCAGGTGCCGCTGTATTCTAGGCACCATTTGCCTTGCCCCGCCTTAGGCGCCTGCAACTAAGCTTGGTCCCGTTCATGCTTCCCGGGGGCTGAAGCAAGCAGAGGTGCGCCTAGTACCGCTTCTGATCCATAGAATAATTTGGGAATTTTGTTCGAGCTGGCCGCTGCGCACAAAATTAGTGTTATTCGAAAGAAAAACAGAATTTGGCCCTTGTATTAAAATCTCATGTCCAAAAAGGGTTTGCCCGCTGTGTACATGGATTGATAACTGATTGGTGTGATTACAGCATGGGTACATAAATTTGCAGCTTCACCCACTTGGTGGAAAGTGGAACCTTTTATAATTGACAGAATTGGACTACAAGGTTGCAGTCAGTAAGTTCTAAGACATAAGAAGTGAATGTTTTTCAAAAGCAGTGTTCTGCAGAGGCCAATGGGAATCACTTGTCCTTCCTTCTGTCCCTTGGCTAGCTAGCTCGTCCCACATCCTTTTTTTCCTAGTGCAGTCAATTGCAGCTGTCCTTGGGAGCAGAGAACAGGAAAGAGGCCTTGCTCAGACTAACTACTCCATTCCTCTTTCACTGAAGGTTGGTCCCATTTCCCAGAATAAACATCAGATTCAAAAAGAATCAATCTTTATTACATACAGCAAATAGAAGAACAGGAAGAAAATTGGACCAAAAATAGGTGAAATAAATAATTTTCAATTACTTTTGCGAAGGGTGATTGCGGACAGTTGCTCCATCAATCCAGGGTCTCCCACAACACGCACACGCACAAAGGCACAACAACCCAGGTCACTGACTTTAAAATAAGGCAAAACCCCCAAACAAAGCTAATACTGTGTCTAATTTTAATAATCCTAATCAGTGATTCCCCCTCCTCCCCTCCTATCCTGCCTACAAGGAGTGAGTAAAGAATTCTGGGAGTATACACCAAGAGTATATACTCTCAGCAGTGTCACTGAGTCATAAAGGTCATCCCAGCTGCTCAGCTAAAACAAGCAGGCAATATATTGGACAGCAGCAATATATGAAGATGCTGGAGGTGACTTATCCCTTTAGTGCAACAGCAAAAGCATAATTTCATATTGCATCGGAGAAGGCAATGGTAAATCACAATTAAATTTTGAAGACAACCTTTTAATAAAAGTTATTCAATTTTACACTCCAACCACTGATGCAGAAGAAGTTGATGAGTTTAATGGTCCTGTTCAATCTGAAATTGGCATAACATGCAAGCAAGATGAGTTGCTTCCAAGCTGGAAACATTAAGGAGGAAAAAATGGGATGAGTGGCCTAGGAAACTGAAATGAAGCAGGAGAATAACTTAATAATTTCTGCCAGTCAAATTATTTCTTCATTGTAGTCTTCCAACAACCAAAATGACACCTGCATATATGAGCATAACCAGATGGAGTTCACAGAAATCAAATTATGTTATTGGTACAAGAGATGGAAGAACTCAGTTATAATCAGAAAGGCATGGCCAGGGACTAACTGGAACAGATCACAAACTGCTGATATGCATATTCCAAGTCAAGCTAAAGTGGAAGAACAAAGCCATCCAATGTCCACAATATGACCTTGAGTAGATACTCACCATTTCAAGGAGAGGATCAGGAATCACTTTGTTAGGGAACTAGAGAAACTATGGAACAAAATCAAATAAATTGTTACAGATGAAGAGAGACTGCCAAAGACCAAGGAACAGAAGAAACCAAACTATATGTCAGAACAAATGGTGGAAATTGCCAAGAAGAGAAGGAAAAGTCAAGAAAGGCAAAGCTCTCGGGAAGGAACTTAGCAAAGAATTTCTGAGAGCTGTTAGAAGAGACAAAAAGTAGTTATAAAACACCTTTAAAAGACATAAAAATGGAAACAGACACAGAAAAACAAGGAATGTTTTCCAAACTGGCTTTTTCTGGAAATGAGGCAGAAGGAATGAAATAAGGTTGCACACTCTCCTAATTTATATTTTGAGGGAGATTGAATTGGAACAGTGTGAGCATGGTTTTAAAATTGGAGGAAGAAACATCAATAACCTATGCTATGCTGATGACCCTACTCTGAAAGCCAAAAATGCAAACTATCTAGAAGTTCTAGTAGTGAAAATCAAGAAGCACATGAAAAGATGGGACTAAGATCAAAGAAAACCAAACTAATTACAACATGTTGGTAACCATCCTTAGAACTGACAATAAAGATATTAATGTAGTGGACAGCTTCTACTTTTTAGGATCAACTATCAACAACAAAGAAACTAGCAATCAAGAAATATGCTGTAGACTAGCACTACATAGGGTAGCAATGAAGGCCTTGGAAAAGATATTCAGATGTCATGATGTGTTTATACTTGATCACAGAATTACGCAGGCAGTGGTTTTCCCTGTGATACTCTATGGTAGTACAAGTTGAAATTTCAAGAAACTGAATAAAAAGAATATTAATGCTTTTGAACTTTGGTGTTTGAGACAACTCCTGAGAATACCATGGATTGCCAGAAAACAGACAAATGAATCATAGAACAAATCAAATCAAGGCACAAATTTATTAGGCTCAAATTATCATATCATATAATGAACATATTATGGAAGACCTGCTCCCTTGAGAAGTCCGTAATGCCAGAAAAGTTTGAAAGAAAGAGAAAGATGACCAGTAGCAAGGTGAAAGGATTTTGTTAGAGCAGTGATGGGTGTATTGGAAGATCTGACCAACCAGGGTAGGGACAGATCATCTTGGAGAAGGTCCATCTGTGCTGTCACTAAGATTTCACACTGACTTGATGATACATAATCATTGATCTAATTGGTTCCCAATCAAGATTGCTAAGGGTTGGGGCTTCTTTTCTAGGTTTCAATTAGCCATGGAAGAGAGATGTTTCCACTCCCCCTGAGAAAGAGACAAAGGCAAAAAATGCTCCTCTCAGTTAAAAGTCCATCTAATCAGCTCTTCGCATTTGATTTTCCCAGTTTGTCCAGTAGCTAGACTGACAAATCAACTTGTTTTTCACAAACTTCAGCTTCTGAAGCCTTAGAAATTGAATTTTCTTTTCTACACAGGGTAAACTGCATGTGGAAATGCAGTTTATTTTCTGTGCTGTTGATGGTAATTTTTCCATGTGTATACATCCAGCTGCCAAGATCTACTCTGCTAATAGGACTAATGCAGACAATTTAATAGGCAGGATTGTCTCTTTTTAAAGCAGTGCATGGTTCAAGGCCAAGTAGGACAGGTTACTTCCATGTCCCTTTGCTCAGGGTTGGCCATCTGCAGCAGCCATGAAGATGTGCTTTTTCAATGCCCCCCCCTCTTCTGACATTCAGAAAGCCTGGAAAGGCCTAGCTCTTCAAATAGATTTGTGGGGTGGGGGAGAATTATATTTTTGTCCCCCTGGCATTGGAAATCGTTTTGAACGGTGGTAGGGTTGACTGTGTTTTACTCCAAGGATCTTATCAGTGTGATTTTTTAAAATAGATTTGGTTGTGGTGTCCTTTGTATTTTGGTTGTAGCCCATGTTACAAAGGGGGAGTTGCTCATCTCTTTGAATTGGTTGTGACTGGAGCAGCCTATAAGCCATGTAAAATAAATATTCAGCTAAGCAGGCGGATGGTTTCTTCATTTGACTAATAATTTCATGTGTATTAAAGTGCTTCTTTAAGTACTGTTGTCCAGTTCCTTTCAGGACTTGTAAAAAATATGCAACTGAAGAAAACATCAACAACAACAAAAACAGTTTAACAATACCAGAAATAAAAAGATGAATCCAAAAAAATAAAGGCAGTGATAAATTCTCTTGATAAGTAATAACTAAGGTTTGTTGTCAAAGAATGGTTTGCTTTCCCAAGAAAACATTACAAAATTATCTTTCTTAGAAAAATGTTTTTTGCTGCAATCTAAGAAAAACAAGAAGTCCATGATCTGATTGTGATGATGTCCTGTAGATCTATGTGAGAAATGAACGGAAATATAAAACAATTTCACACATGCAGGCATCTCAACAGCCTGTGGACAATATTTTCTATCTGTTTAATACTGTATTTGTGCACATGCGTGCCCACACACACACACACACACACCTCTCAGAAATTAAATTTTTTATTGTATATGTTCCTCTTCCATAAACATAGCATAAAATTGGCTGCTGCAGCACCTTATCATTTCTGATAAACAAGCAAAACTCTTGGATACACACACCTTCCAGAAGCTATTCCATGGGTATCTTTTATTGGTAAATATAGAGATACGCTTCGCCTATCCAGTGCTTTGAACCTCCTCTAAAGAAGCCATTTAAATTCATTTGCTACATTTCTGTGCCTCAGAAGATTCCTGGAGGTAAAGAACTAGAAAGAAAAAGATGCGATTTGATCATATTTATTTAGTTAATTTATATGGCAGCCCAATTCACAAATTGTGATTCTGGGTGGCTTACATAGAATTAAAAAAAAAAAAAACCAACCAGATAAAACAACAGAAAATACAAGTCAATGGAGGCCAAACCACAATCATAATCTCAGCCATTAAAAGTGTATCCAGTACCTTGGCCCAGTGCCCAGGAGTACAGCCAGATTTCTCAATGCAATTGGTGTACAAGATGGCTCCTCAAGCAGGAGCCAAGAGTGCAAGAAGACCCTCAAATGAAAGGGGCCCAGATCTGGAGGTTCCCAAATCCCATAGCAACTTGGTCTTGCTAAGATTTTGCTGAGTGGCATGCACTTGCTGAGTGTGTGTCTAAACGTATATCTTTCATTTAATGGGAAGCAGGCAACAGTATGTTGGCATGCAAGGTAGTCTCTTAGACCTTAGAGACCTTAGCTTGCATCAAATAGCATGTACCGTATTTTCCCATCTATAAGACAATACTTTTTTCTAAAACTCTTACACTAAAAATTGAAGGGCGTCTTATGCAAGGAAGTAAGCCGAGGAGAGAACCACGCGGTTGCGAAGCTGCCCATACTTTGTCTCTGCAAACAGGCTTCCTCCAATCACGAGTGAAACTGCCCATACTGTCTCTGCAAACAGGCTTCC